GGGCTAAAAGGAAGTTCTGTAGATTCACAGACGAGCCGCAGGCACCGAGGCGTCTGGTACTACATAGAGTAGGAAAGCTGCAGTTGGATCAACACTTTGAGATAAATGTCAACAAGAAGCCTGAATGCACCGTCAAACAGTACTCAGAGACGCTGAAATGTTCCTATTATTGTTTTCTTGATGCTACCGCGGTGATATTTTAGACAGTGTTTGTCACCTTCCTGTTTCTACACGATAATGCTTCTGACCACAAAACCAGCCCCATTAAAAAAAAAAAAAAAAAAAGAGTCTGGTGTGGAAGAACTTCACTGTCCTGACCTCAGCCCCGCCCAACTCCTCTGGGATGAACTGGAATGAGCCAGACCTTATCGCCACACATCACTAGCTGTGACATTTGTCACGCTGCAACAGGCTGTAGAGTCAAAGTGAGTTTGTAACTCCCTTCTGCTACACAGCAGACGACATCCAGGAATATAAATCTATCTATACTGTCATCAGTGGAGCAGAGCTGAGGATGAACTAGGCTTTAAGAGTCTGATAGCTTGGTGGGGAAAGGTGCTCTGGTGGTGCGGCAGCAGAAACTCCTCTCTCTCTTCCCAGAATGCAGCAGGGTGACCAGGCTGTGGCCGCGTGGCTACCGTCCTTTAGTATCCTTTGGGCTCTGCAGGCACCTCGCCGATATCACCGATGCCCGGGAGATGGGTACCAGTGATCTTCTGAGCAGTTGTGATCCCCCGCTGCAGAGGCCTCCCCACGCCAGTTAGTGATGTTTTCAGTCAGGATGCTTTCTGACTCAACGTGTTCGCCTGCTCCAACGATGTAGACAGGAGTGTGTTTCTGTGATATCTATGCATTGGCAACGCATGGACCATCGCATTTGGTTGGCGGTGGCGTTTCTTTGTTCCAATGCACGCGTCCAATCGCACATGCAAATATCACTTCATGTCACATGTCACGCACGAACCCGGCACATTGCACATATTTCTTCTTAATTGTTGTTGCTCAAACGACTGCTGTGGCGGTAAAGGTGCTGTGAAAACGTTGGGCGCACCTAACTGAAAAATGTAGGCGCACCAGTGCAACAAATGCTAAAGTTAGTCTGGAGCTCTGAGGGCAAAGCACTGACACTTCCTGGGTCGGGGGTTCCATTCCTCGCATTGCTCAACAGACAGAGCAAAGCAGCTGAATAAAGACCAACACGCTGTTTTTAAAAGAGAAAGTCCTGCAGCCTTAATGTGCTCAAACTGGGCACAAAGCGGGTATAACTCTGGGAGGCCGAGACACAAACAGTCACGTGGAGGCTTCACGCAGCCGACAGAAGAAACCTTCAATCTCCGGAGCCTCCTCCCTCCGGACTCTGAGGCTCTGCACCACGTACACAAAACCACAGCCACCAGCAGGACTGACAGCGGGCAGGCCGGAGACACACAAATGCTACGAGTCTAAAAGCAGCTCTCAGTCTCACCGTCGACCAGAGAGCAGCAGCAGCGGAGTGCCAGCTGAGCTCCACGGCGGGCAGCATCCGTGGTGGGCGTAGAGAGACGAGACGTCACACCCTAAAAACCTGGGTTCACTGGGACCAACGCTGCATTCACATCATTCCGTAAAAACAAAAGAAGCTGCCCTCAAAGGTCGTTCACAGACCCATCTTCAAAAGGTTAAATAACAGGCGCCACAGAGAAGCTCGTCAACAGCGACCAACTCTGACTTTCACTCCCTTTAATCTGTTGATTGCTTTCCTACTTTTTCAGCCCAGAGCCCAAAGGAATCTCTTAATAAGGGCCGCAACTATTAAAGGCTGATGTTTGATCCCGAGCGAACGTCAAAGAAACAAGATGGTCAATTAAACTTCTGAGGTAGAACATTCAAAACTATCAGCATCATTTTTCAACAAATACGGTTAGGAAGTCAGTCAACTAAATAAATATTTTAATAGATAAATGAAGTGCTAATTTGTTCGTGATTCAAATGAATTGACGATGTATAGAACATTATATTGTAATTGCAATGATCATCATTACTGTTTTATTGCCCAGCTGCAGCTAATCATTATTTTCATTACTGATTCATCTGCAGAGTAATTTAGTAATTAATCAATAAATGTTATTGAAATAGTAAAATATGCCCATCCTAATTTCTAAGAAGCCAAAAAGCCATAACATGTCTGCTTAAATATGATTGAAATGACGAATCAATTAACATAATTGCCTTTTAATTTTCTGTCAATTAGTTCATGAATTCAGCTTCATTTCAGACGATAGTTTGTCTGACCAACAGTCCAAAACCTGATACACTTACAACGATATGAGAAACAAGAGAGAAAACAGAGCCTCACATTTGACAAAGTGGAACGAGATCATTTTATTAGTAATGAACAAAACCTGTTGCCCATTCATTTTCTCTAGTTATGTTTCTCACTACACCAGAGTCAAATGCAAAAAAGCTAATCAAGAGCAAACAACACTACAGAAAACGAACATCATGGTGCCAGTTTGAACGGCTGAAATCTTCACTGTGAAAGGTTTTCTGTGCCGACGCTCACCCCTCAGCCCCTGCAGCTTCTGTTGTGACTCCGTCACGAGGATTTCATGACGACTTTTACCAGCGAGGGAGACGCCTCCATGTGATTCTGAGTAAGCAGATAACCAAGGGCACAAAGCGAGGCTCGTCTCGGCCGCCGCGCAGCCACGGTCCCGGGGCCGGGGCCGATCTCTCAGGTGCACTTGAACCGGCCTCAAGGTCACAAGTTCAACTACAGACAAGCCTGGGAAAGATTTCTCACTGCGACTGTCGACTAAGGACAATTTCTACTTCTGCATCGCCGTTGTGAGCGTTTGTATTTGTTCGTTGGAGTCTGCGCTGCTTTGCATTTACACCGCTAAAACGCTACTACGAACTTGGGCTGCAACTAACAATCACTGTCTCTGTATTTTCTGGATTAGTTGTTTGGTCTATCAAATGTCAGAAAATGCCCACGGTGACGTCCTGAAACGTCTGGTTTTGTCCACAGCCCCGGGAGATTCAGTTTACTGGTCATAGAGGAGTAAAGAAAACAGAACAGTCATATTTAACAAAGTGGAATCAAATCATTTTCGCTGATTAAACTATTATCCAAACAGTTGCCGATTAACAGTCGACGACTAATCAATTATCTGATCAATCTATGGCGACTGAAACTGAGCGGATCCTGATGGATGTTGAACGGCAGCTACTTTTAGCGAAATGACGCAGAATCAAGAGAAGGCGTCGGAGGAGACGGTGGACCACGACCCATGGACCGGACACGCGAAGGAGGAGCCGACCAATCACACTTGTTGTGGTGGGGAGGTGGCGTCGGGCTCAACAAACATTAGATGCAGAAGTACAAGTTGGCCTTTAGTTGGTGACAGACAAACAATCTGCAAAGAAACTTGCCCATCTTGTCTTTCTTTTCCCTCAGAATAAATAGAGTTCTGTTACCTTCTTGCACTTCTGTAAGACGCCAACAGTCATCTAATATCAGAGGGGGTATATATATATATATAACTAACCCCATATCCATTTATATATATCCCCATGTGAACAAGCCGCCAAACTGCTGACATTTACTTTATAGATGAGTGGAGCCGATTTAATCGATCAAACATGCCAAAACTTTGCTGGTTCCGGCTTCTGAAATGTGAAGATTTTGCTGCTCGTCTCTGTTTTATAGAGTATCTTTAGGTTTTAGACTGCTGGCCTAGAAAACAACATATACACACACTGAACTTTTGTTTGAGACAATATACTGACTAAATTATTTGACGTTTGGTGTGATTTAAAGTGAAACATTCAACACTTGCTTCACAAACTGAGTCTTTGCAGAATAAACTCAGCACCTTCAGATACAACACGCATTTCACTGGAACTGGTAGAGAAAAGGGAAGAAGAGGTTTTATCTTTCTCATAATTTGCTTGGTAATGTGTTGCCTAAACATGTCAGGGCAACATTCACTACTGCAAACTCCCGGTGACTAGTGATCCTGTTTCTGCCCCCCGGCTGGAGCGGCAGGCCAGCGACCAGCTTTCCCAGGGGGGGGGGAAGAGACAAAACGGTTTTAAGCTGCTCCGTCTGCCTCACAAAGACCAGGTTCAACCCACACGCAGTCGATAAACACCCCGGTTAGCTGTCATTACAGCTGATTGCCGTGTACATGAAACGAAACGCTGTAATTACAGGTTACACACAAAGCCAAGAAACAAAACAGAAATCCAGCAGTGAAAGGCTGACGGCCATCTGAGCTAGCATCCTATGCTAACAGAGGAACCACAAATGTTAGCAAAGTTAGCTGCCTTAATGTTAGCTACCCTGGTTTAAAAAGTTACCGGGTTACTAATCTGTCTGAAACATCTTACGGTGAATTGTGGCTCTGGACAGTTACGCCTGCAGGCTGGCAAATTTACATTTTAGCCGCTAGCTTGTCCACGACGTCTGGTAACTCCGGACTGCGTTAACAATCTGCCTGTTTTCTGCGTTACAGCGCATTGTTTAAATTACTGACAACAAACTTAAAAAACCTATAATTTTAACGGTTTATCTTTCACAATTACGTCTTTTGGTAAACTCCCATTGTTTTCTTTCTCAAGTTTCATCCAATTGTTTTTCTATTAATCAACGTCACGCTGCTCCAAATTTGTGTATTTAGGAGAGACATTCAAGTCAAGGAAATAAGAGGCGACCCGATTCAAAAATCTGCAAGCTGTAAGAGAAGAAAATTGCCAATCACGCATTGCAACACGCCGAACTGAAGAGGAGATCCTGCCGACATTGAATGTGTGTTCGGTTATTTTCTACAGTGCGTGTCATTTTGAAGAGGACACCATAAGTAATAAATTGCACAGTTTTTGAGCGGCATTTCGCGTGACGTTCTCTCACTACAGGGGCTAGCGGATGGCTACAACAGCCACCGTTAGCAGGTTCTGTTCGGCAGGCACACCCCGCTTCTTTCCCGGAAACACAGGACCCTGCCCCACTAATGTACCTCCTTCTTGTCCTGGAGACACTCCAGCACCGCCAGGTTGTTGTTCCAGGAATGTTTGGGGCAAAGCCGGGTCAGGTCCTCCCTGCACACCGCCTCCTCAGCCAACTTCCAGCCGGCAGAGCGCCGCCGAGTCAACGAGGCCCCTGCGCCCAGGTTCCTGTCCGCGGCTCCCGGGTTCGCCACGGCCGCTCCAGGACCTCCGGCTGGATTCTGTGCGTTCGCAGCAAGTTTGGCGACAATATTGTTTTCGCCTCGAATTGGATGCACAGACGACAAGATGCACATCAAAAGCAGGAGCACAGGAACACGTATACAGTCCGCCATCTTCACGGAGCCAGTCAGCCTACTGCTGCGTTCACGAGCCCTCGGAAATATGGGGACTTGGAGTAAAGTTGCAGACAGATTTTTTTCTTTCTTTCTAGGATGACACCGGGCAGCTCATGAATAATTAATGAGCGCTGAAACCACCATGGAAATGGTCTTCTCCCGGCGTTTCTAATTATTGTAATGGCAGATCAAGTCTTTTTAGCATAGAAACAAATGAAACACTTTGACAGACCAAACTTAAGGTTGTACAGAAAGTAGAATGGTGCAAAGTTTGCACGGGAGCTGCAAGCTGGGACTTTGAGTTGTTAAAACTTGAGCATTTTAGGAATAAGGAGAAGAAGAGCTGGGTATCATTTGTACACATTGCACATATTTATTCATCTTCTATATTTTGTCCATTTACATATTTATACAAATCCTCTCCACAAACTCGGAGTAATGCACATGTAAATATCTGCCACATCGTTTATCCTCTACTAATAGTTGTATTATTCTTTTATAAATCTGTTTAGTCCATATTTCCATATTCAACTTTATATTTGTTAAACGTGTAGCACCTTATCACGATAGAAATTTCCTTGTATGTTTAAAATACTGCACATATAAGGAAATGACATACTTTCTGATTCTTATACTAGTAGTATTTATACTGCAGATGGGTTTTGGTAGAGATACCAATAGGATTTTGAGATAGCCTACCTTGTTTTGAGAAATATTTTTCTACAAAAAATTTTTCATTCAACAAAAAGCAGAAACATTTACACTAATTAACTGAAAAAATACATGTATGCATATATATATATATATATATATATGCATACATGTATTTAACATTAATTCATTTATAGATACTTTTTGATGAACCAAAGCACCGTTTGCATTTAATGTCAAAGGAAAATACACAATTTCCTAAGAGCTCAAGATGATTTCTTCAAATATCTGGTTGTTTATAATGATGTCAAACAGGAAAGCAGCAAATCTTTACATTTAAGCCAGAGAATTTGAACAGTTATTGATACATTTTCTATCTTCTATCATTTGAGCCCTAAAGAAAGTTTATAGTACAAACTGTGTTATAGAACTGAGACACAGATCTTTTATGGATCCCTCCGCAAAATTTACTGGAAAGCAACACCATCTGTGGAGTGTTGCACAAAACGGAAATAAGACCAGCGTTTGATTGACTAGGACAAAAAATGGATCTTATCAAACTCACACCAGGAAACATGAGTGTCATTTATTCAGGCGTGCAGAGCGCTGCTTTCCTTCACATACAGGAACAAGGAAACAGAAAACTTGCGGTGTTTTAGGTAATTTGACACTTGTGGTGAACATTAATGATTTGTTGTTAAGCCAGTGAACAAAACTGTGTTAACTGAAGACACGTTATTAATAAATATTATAGGTTTTATTTGTATTTTTAAGCTTTGTCAAACTGAATAATTAAATCATTTTTTGGACATATTTCCACCACAGAGCTCTAGAGCAGTGCATGTCATCCACTGAGTTTGCCACTTCTGGAGTGTAAAGTAGAACTTTACGAGCCTGCCTGATGCAGCATCTAGTTGGAGAAATGACGGAGCAGGGCT